AAAGATGTCAAAAGTTGCTGAAGTACCGGACACTGAAACTCTCCCAGGCAACTCTGTTTATAACCACTGCGGGGCTTTCTGGGAAACAGAGGGAAGATCTGCTACAGCAGCACAAAGCACATTAGGAACTATTAAAGAGTCGCAAAATACAGCATACTGGCCAGTCAGCAAAAAGAAGTTGCTATGGTGCATATTTTTTAGTTTCTGCCTTGTGGGCAGACAAATGCACTTTACATCAAAGCTAGGCTAGTAAATTGAAAAAAAAAAATTCACAAGAAATATCATCTGTAATACTTTTTTTTTTTTTTACTTTACTTATGTATCTCCTGAAAGATACCACAGTAATTCATCTCTTTTCTCTCTTATTCAGATATATCTGTAGGCAGAGGTCTTCCTCGCTGCCTGAACAGACCAGCAGACACACACATAAGTCAGGAATAAAGGTGTGTGGAGGTTTAAAGCAGGGTGGGGCTATAATACAGCAACGTACTATTGAAGCTTTTTTCAGAAAGTGGTTCAATCCATCATCTGAAAATGGAAAAATAATGTTTTGACCTAGCTGTAGGCCTACCGTGACATGGTCACCTATCTACACTGACAAGGTGAGCAAGGAGGGTATTAGTCAGAGGAGTAACCAAGAGGGAACTCTGCTCAAGTGGAAGAAGAATCTGGGGACAGGTCATAGTCATGCACGCTACAAATCTGGCCAATAGGAAAATAGCAATGAAGAAGCAAACTTTGAAAGAAAGCAGGAAGAACTTCAGTTTAAAGTAGGAGAACGGTGAGGATGAAGATGCTCCGGTCAGATAACAAGAATCAAACTTTATAGCAAGGGAAGGAAAATAAAATTAAGGAATAATAGTAATGCAAAGATAAATGGTGAGTCACCTTCAATAAAGACAAAAATGTAAAACCCAATAAATTAATGAAAAAAAAAAAAAAAAAAAAACTCTAAATGAGCAAAACCAACAGATGATAACTAGACGAGCCACATTAGATAGTCATTTAAAGGGGCAGTATTTCCAGGTACATAGTGCCATTTTGTAGCACATTCACATTCAAGTAGCTATATTAACTGCAGATGTTATAAAAATGTTGTATGTATCACACATGACATAAGAAATTTTATTTCCTAATTTAACACCTTGAAGTTTGGCTTCTGTCTCTTTAAAAACTCCTGCTCTTTCTGAAACTCTGCCCTCAGGAAGTCATCACAACACAGCTCCTCTATTAACCATTTAACAGCTTTTTTTTTTTTTTTAACCAGCGCTGTACTGAGAAGTAGCTCGTATAATGAGCTCAGCAGATGTCCAGTTCCACCAGGTGCTTGCTAATTGCTGCTGGCTAGTCTGAAGGAGCTGAGTGGGGAGGTCATGGGGAAGGGCTGCTCTGTGAAGCTCAGAAGCTTGGAAACTGCAGCTGCACCTAGAAAAGAGAGAGGATGCGCCTTCGGTTCATTCAGCCATTTTGCACAGCTGAACTGCTCCCACAGGAAGCTGAAGGATTTCTCAAACATACATGAAAGAATCATTTACTGATGAGGGAATAAATAGCATTATGACATGATGCAAAGCTAAAAATAAAATGTGCTAAAAAATGTTAGTTTTCCAAAATGTGTCAATCAGAAAACATACTACAAATAGAGCAATAAGTATGAAGATTTAAACATTTAAGAACCAGTAAGATCAAGTTCACCATGACTACAAGTGATGGGGCTCAAAATACAATGAGCGTGACTTATAGGGATCTTTTCCAATGCAACACTTTGGCTGTGTAACTTTGATGAACTCACCTGAACCGTGAGCCAACCTATACTTTTTGTCCTTTTAAAAACATACACAAAAACGATTTATATAAATCTCTACAAAGAAAGGAGTACCATCATTACTTTTAACTTAAAAGCATTTTGATGGCTTAATGCATAAGCAATAAAGATAACAATCTATGCTTCCGCCAAAATATTAGAAAGAAATGTATTCATAGGCATGTTGACTGCCAGCTCAGATCTCCCACTCTTTTGTGTACCTCCAGAATAAAACACAGCCTAAGAAGTGATTTAACCAAAATCTACGCATTTGCATCAGAAGACATTAGAATGCACGCTACGTTAGTCCTGCCTGACAGACTGCTCAACAATGACCAACCTTGCTGCCAGCATGACTAATAAGCCTGAGGACTTGATATCCATCTGATATGAATACAGAGCTGAACAACCCCCCACCCCCCCCCAAAAAAAACTCCAGACTTAAATGTCAAATACTTGACATACTTTACCAACATATAACTGTTCCCCCTCAAAGCATCACAAATGCACCACAGTCAGTGAAATCCTGACCGGGTTTGGAAATGAGCTCTGGTAATGATTCCGCGCCGGCCAGAGGCAAGGTCTAACCCCCCCTGATCATTATAAATTATAATTATGTGCAAAACAGTTGCTAATTCTGGTCTTTACAGAGGAGCATCTGCATGTGTACAGTACTGCGGCTCAGATAAATATTCACTCACCTTTGACCTTTTCCTCACATTTCAAATTACAATTGCAAACTTTGAAGTATTTTATTGGGGATTTTATGACCGATGCAAAGTAAAAATGATACATGGCGGATAAAGAAGGCTGGTTCTGTTCTGAAGATGATGGTGCAAAGAAGGATTCTTCATAAAAATCAAGAAAAATACAGACAAAACAGAGGTTTAATTTCAATCGCTGTAACACAAACCGTTACAGTTCTTGTCCACAGCCATTATTAGCATCCACAACAACTGTTTGAAGAAAACTGTATATTATGTATTACAAATAGAGGGTTATGGTTCGATCTAAAATATTGATAATAACGATAAGTCGGTATCAGATCAATGCCAGTGTGGTGAGATCGATGCTTTAGTTTCAGGTTCTTCATGGAAATGTTTTTCTATTATTTTGTAGTTTCTCAACTCTACCTCAGAAAAAGATTTTTGGTTCAATTTGTACTTTTTTTGCCTGTTGTTTTGTTAAAAAGAAGCAAAACAACTTGTTTTGTTTCCATTTGTCATGTAAAAATATGTCACTAAAGTATTTTGTTGGCACCTATAAACTGTCCAAATTCTGTGTCCCGAGTTTTAACAAAATTATTCAAAGAAGTCAGAAGTTTAATGGTACATCAAACTTGAATAACTAAAAATATCGGTAGAAGTATCGGCGATACTTGCCCTGTATTTGCTTGGTGTCAGATCGAAACAATAAATATGCAGTACCGCACACCTCCAATAACAACAACGTTCAATTTTCCTCTGGGATTAATAAAGTATTATTGAATTGAAACGAGTTGTATAGCCAAATCTTTTGGAGTATGCCTCGACCAGCTTAGTTTATTTAAATGAAGCTCTAGTGATTATTTTAGAAATTGATTATTCTGATTAATCAGATGTGAAAAAAAAAATTGGGCACATTCTACACTTAAGCCTTTATTATTCAATATTAAAAACATATAAAAAGATGAAAATAATTAAATTCCACTTTTAAATTAGAAAATAAAAATGTTATTGAATAAGATGCAATAAAAAAATCATTCCTTTAGTGTACGGTTTTTTTAATTTTTTATCTTAAATCCAAAATGCATATGTTTTTTGCACCGTTTTGGCTTAATTAGTGCTCTGAGTATGTTGTTTTAATCATCAAATGTTTTTTTTTTGTCTTTATACTCCAGTTAATGATTAATCAAATGCTAAATTAGTTGACAATTATTTCAATAATTGATAAATCATGATTAATCCGATTAATCGTTTCAGTCATAATATAAAGCAAAACTTTATGTGACTGTGTAATAAAAGCTTATCACCTGATGGTACGAGTTACATCACATTAGCTGCATATTCCGACTTGTCCTCTGCGTTTCTGACCCGTAGCAGTGAAGCGTAATTAGCTTCTGTCATCAGAGAACCAGCATTACTTCCCGACGATTCCAGCTGACTGGCCTCCATTTGTCAAAGCTCTCTTAGAAGCCTGTATGGAACAATCAAATCCAGCCAAGATAAAAGACGGAGCTTACTAATTTTGCTGTCTAGTATATAAATAATGCTGCAAGCCAGTCCCCACCGTCCAGAGCAACATCTGCATGTGCTCCCCCCCTTCTACCCCACACTGTTCTGGATGGAAGACTTTCATGTTGCCATCCAGGGACTCAGGCGTTTTCTAAATGGGCCAATCATGTCTTGTTTTCTTTGATGTCAAAATTGACACTTTTCTCTATAATTACGGTTTGTTCAAGTCGTAATTATCTGTAGTGTACTTTATAATCTACTGGTTGTATTTTGCACAGCTTAGTGGGCTAAAATGCACCATGGGAAGTGGAATTACATCAATTTACATGTCCCCACAAGGAAAGCCTTTATGACTAAAAGAAAATAAAAAATAACTCAATTTCCCTCTGCCGAACATACTGTCATATGGTAATAAACTTTGATAGAAAGCAAAAAAAAAAAAATCTCTGAAGCATTTATTTAGAGAATAAAGCAAAAGGAGAATCCGAGCGGCTGTGGAAATAAACATAAGATGCAATTTGCTTTCCAGACATTTCTAAGTGGAGGCCATATGGAATAATTCATTTCTGTATTCCACCATGAAAATAGGAAGTGCGAGTAATCCTCGGGGAGATTTAAACCAAGTGCAAAGGGAGGGCAGTAATCTTCTAATCCTCTGTAATGTTGTAATGGTCTCTCCAAGCTTATCTACCCTAAACTAACTTTCCCCGAGGAATACTTCCACAGATACAAATGGACCAGAAAGAGCGATGAGACCATTGCTTCCCTGTGTAATTCACTCATCTGCAGCGGCTTCTTGGGAAAAAAAAAGAAAAAAGAATACTCTAAAATCTCAGTAAAATAAAACGTAAAATCATTCGAAATAATAATAATAATAATAATAATAATAATAATAATAATAATATTAAAAAAAAACATTGAAAAGAATAAAAACATCCACTTTCAAAATGTACAAAATGCTTTAAAAAAATAAATATTTGTAGTTTTGTATCTGAAATTGCAGGTTTAATCCAACAGGAACACGTAACGCTGTACGTTACGTGTTCCTGTACAGTTTTTAAGGAAACCGTAGCAGACGCAGCGCTGGGGGCTCCCTACTGGTTTCTCCCAGCTTCAGCCGGAGCTGACGCAGGAGCTGAGTGGACGGGCCGCAGGAACTCGGAGGTGAACACGGCCTCGGCGTACTCCTCCACCACGTCCTGGAACTCCTTCGCCACGTCCGCAAGCGCCTCCGACAGCAGCTCCTCCGCCACGCTGCAGCAATGGAAACAAGCAGGAACGTCAGACCAAGCAGGCAGGGCAGCGAGGAACCAGTCGAATACATGTCAATAACGCTGTTAGTAATAATAATCGTTTATTGCAAAAGCGATGAAGGACGTCTATTCCTTCTGGAAGTGTTAGCAACCCTTTGGATATCTCAGAGTTAAGGTAAAGATCTACATCTTAAAGGGAAGCAGACGCAGACAAACTATGCACACAGAGATTGCTAAGAGCAGAAGAGGACAGTGGTTGGATTTTTAGATTTTTGATGTAGTAGATAAGACAGGAGGATAAGATCAACCTCATATTAAATATCGGCCAATTACCAATCTTCCAAAATTAAGGAAAGGGCAACCCTAATTTAATTGTCTAAGATGTTATAACACTCCGTCTATTTTCTCCTCCATTCTTTCAAATGTAAACAAAGATGGAGTGGCAAGAGATTTTAGCAGATGTAGGATTTCTCTTTTGTCTTTGGTGAAAGACCATGAGCCATTACTCCCACTAGTGCTAGACTCCTGCTTTTGTTTTGGTTTACCCAGAATGCCCTGCACTATTGTCGGCTTCCTGCTTTTGGAGAGGTCTTGCATTGGAACCGCGCCAGATTTCACTTCAATCGAACTGAGACCTGGGTTTTTAGGCGAACCAGAGTTTAACTGCACATTCACTCTTCGCCACACAACCTGACTTCCTAGACAAACGAACTAGATTCGATTAAAGAGGACCAAACAGGGGTGGTGTGAACGCATCCTAATCCTCGGAGAACCCAAAGTCTCAGAGTTTGCATGTTGTTTCAACTGTGATCCAGTCACAGTCGAGTTCAACAAGCTCAACTTTATGCTGAGAATGCAGACGCAGCTTTTGCTCCATCTGCATTACTATTGACTACATAGTTTGTTTGTTTTTCTTTTTTTTTGTTTTTTGCTCATGTTAAGAACAAAGTACACCAACTTGGCAAAATATATGACGCAATTTCACACTTATAAAATGTACTTTCATTGGGTCTAGAAGACGACTCCCGCAGGCCAGAGTTAGAACATTATCTGGGTCAACACACATATAAACATCACAGCAGAGACGGGTGAGACTGCACTCTAGAAGTCCAAAACACCCCACCAAATCTTTAACATGTCAGAGAATCCAAACAGTAAAGTCAGAGTAATTGTGCGGTGGTGAAGATTTAAAGGCTAAAAAGAAGAACTCGTGAGAAATGAGAGAAAAGACTGAACTGTTATGGATTGGACTCGCCGTGATGAGGCATCAGAGTTAATGCGCTTTGAGCCGTGCTAAACAACTCCCTGCGCTTTTACATATTTACCGCACCACTAATCGAGTTGGCCGATATTAATGTAATTTGGACCTCAAAATGAGGAAGTTCGTCTAAACACTGAGTTATTATCCGCCCCGGGTTTAGCCAAGTGTTGGAAGCGGGGCTTAAAATAGCTCCCAGGATGTATGTTTTCTCTGTTCTGGCAGTGCTTAAGATTCTATGTAGCAATCAGTCTGTCAGCAGACAGATTAAATGAAATCCTCCAGGTGGTGTGGCTGCACACCAGCACACTGCTGCTCATTACTATCTCATCACTCAGGAAAAGGATGCTGCTGCAATGTGTCAGGGTTGAGGGAGGGGGTGTAGAACAAAAGTGTGCCTGGTATCACTCTTCAAAAAAAAAAAAACTCAAAATAATTGGATATCCTAACAAAACATTCTTTTTCTAGCTAGTTAGTTCACTGATGATTGTGCCTCTGCTGTTTTCATCATGGCTGTGTGGTTCCTCAAACTGAACCACTTTTTAATGTTTTGTATTTTTGGATATTATTCTTTTTTCCGCCATCATTTGGGCTTGTAAAGGAAAACCTTGCATGGCTTGTAAACCAGGCGACCTGGGAGTGCGTCTCGTGAGAAGCGGACTAAACACATTTATTTTTGTTGTTGTTTTTGTCTTTTATCGGAAACTTCTTTATATGACACTGGATTATTTAGGGCCACAAGCCTGATCCTGTGCGTCTGTGGGTGAGTGGTTTAGGAACAGGAAGTGTGCAGTGTTAACTGAAGTGTGTTTGCATGTTAAATTTTACTGTTTTTATTGGATTGCTTTTGTTGTCCACTCATTTATCTCACCTTCTCCTTTGACTTCCAAGTTTAGTGAAGTATAGGAGTAGTGCTGGCTACTCATATTTATCCATTAATACATTTTCTATGAATGGAGTGACGTGACTTTTGTCGAACTTGCTGGCAACAGCAGAATGGGACATGAGCTTCAAACAGGAGGCTGAAGCATACCCCAATCTATCCTACAATAGCACACAAATATGGTATTGCAGAAACGGCATCAAACTTGTGGATTTAGATGGTCTATGAAGACGAGAGAGTCTCTGCCAACCTGTCAGAAAAAAGTCAGCACTTTTGTTTACCTGTCGGCAGCGGCCCAGGTGTTGAAGCTGTCAATGGCCCCTTCAGACCCAGCACCGAGGTAGGCGTTGTAGTCTTCCTTATACTGGCGGATGTTCTTCAGCGTGCTGCCTGGCACCGAGAGAACGGTCCTGCTTCTCTCTGCCCTGTCATTGGGCAAAATTTTGTTTGTGGGTAGGTGTTGGTCCTGGGTTTGGACCTCCGTTGGGCTGCTCTCAAACAGGAAACTGTGACGGGGAGCAGAAGAAGAGGTCCATGAAGTTAGTTGTACCATAACTTATACTAGTGTAGAAATTTTCAAACACCCATTTACAGACTAAGGGTGTTTTCACACAAGCCCTGTTTGGTCCACTTCAATCAAACTCTAGTTTGTTTGCCCAGAAAGTCTGGTTTGCTTAGGGAGGTGTGAAAGAGTAATTGAACTCTGGTGCAGTCCACGTAAAAGCCTAAATCTTGGTTCGGTTGACGTGAAATCTGATGCCGTTTCAATGCAAATGTGATTTAAAGCAGGCCAAAGACCGCTCCAAAAGCAGGAAGCGATGTGTAGCACAGGGTATTCTGGATAAATACAATCGAAACCAATGTGCGTGTCTATCGAGAAATGGCTCCTGGTCTTCTACCAAAGACAAAATAAAAATCCTACAACCGGTAAAATCTGACACCACTCCATATTTGTTTACATTTTGTGAAGAAGAAGTTGCGCTCAGTGTCTTCCTCAAATGTTTTTATGTTGTTTTCTCAAGTTGTTCTTGGTGCAGCACCACTACAGGCGAGCAGAAAAACAGGTTTTTCAAAGGGTTTTTTTTTTTTTGGTTTTATTTTTTTTTTTGACACAGTGCAATGTGAAAACGAACAGCAACAGCTAGAAACGTAACAAATGTTGCAACTTTGGTTCCCAATAGAACCGAGTCTACCAGACTAAGAGGTGTGGAAACACCCTAAAATTCTTCCTTTGCCTCGTGGAAAATTGAGGATGATTATGATTATTTTTAGGAAACATATTGCGTGCAGGCCAACTCTCTCGTCTGAGCCTTGTTATGGATGAGGATGGCCTCAGCTGGGCATCTCTGAGTCCTGGCCTTATAATCCTCTCAGTTCAGACGAATCAACCTGCCTCTCGTAACATCCCTCGCTGAGCTATATTTAGTGTTGCAGCAGCTCTCAAGCAAACGACTTCTTTCTATTGTGCTCCCCGGACCTCGGCTAAACTTGCCTCAGTATTGACCGGAGGGGCCGCGAGCAACACAACAGCCATAAATATGAAAGCGGTGGCACAGTCAACTTTGTTTCCTCTCCCAAGCTGGTTGATCTCCAGTCTGACAGGCATCAGAGGACCAACGGCACAGCCCACCGCCGGCTCACGTATTATTCATAAGGTTCAAAGAGGCACCCAGGCTTTTTCTGACATGGTGGCAAATAAACAAGACTGACCAGCGTTTTTACATTTTGGTCTGACTGCAAAAGCAAAAAGGACATTGTGAGCTGAAGGTGAAAGTAAAGAGAGGAATGACAGAAAGTTACAGGAATATGATAAACTTCGCCTGGCCACTGCCTTGATAAGCAATTTCATTCAATTTTCATCTCCCGTCGGTGCTCCGTCTGGGCTTTCTACCACTGAGCTTGACGTTTCTGGTAGAATTTCAGCAGGGCCAATCAGCACACACACTCTTAGAAATGGCTGTAAATTTACGGCGGAATTCCAGCAGTAACATACTGTTATTCCAAAATACGGTAGGATATTGTCAATTTGATGTCTTCTTCTGCTGTCACAATCAAGACTGATGACAGGCAGTAAACTACCGTAAAATAATTGTACAATACAGTTTTGTTCCCAGGAAAGACATTTTACTTTAAAGACAATATTAAACGGAAAGAAAAAAATACTTTCCATAATAAATCTTTTAGGGAATGAATCGAAATCTACAGAGCATAATCAAAAATGTTAGAATACCAGTGCTGGTGTTGTTTGTTAAAAATACAATGTTAATTAAACACTTGTTTAGTCAAATTTAAAGATGGGTTTGTCAATTTCCCTAAAGAGATGGTGTTTGATAAAGAGTTGCTCCCACAATCACAACGTATCTGTAACGTCACGTGTTTGCCCGGGAGACAGCAGTGTGGCATCTTGTCTGGAGCTTATCATAACAAGGTAAGTTCCCCAAAGCTATTAAAACATATGTTCTATCTTTAATGTATTTATGTAATGTAATGGTGATGTATTGTCTGAATGTTTGTAACTCCTTGGCAGACATTATACCACAATGTATGCTGCGTTTATACTGTTATTTATTCTGTATCTCAATAAAGATCTATTAAAAAAACAAACAAAAAAAAACAAGGTAAGTTCCACG